CATTTCCAATTGATAAGTAGCTGCTTAACGAGCTGCAATAAATAATCTTTAAATACCTTAATCTCCACATTGGTGACGCTTTGAAATTTAATTTAATACATATATATGCACATACATATATGCATATATTTGTATTTATATTTTGAGCAATTAATTGTTTAAGAAATTGATAGAAAATCCTCTGGAATAAATATTATACTTTAAGTTTCCACAACGTTTCTGCCCACCTTCTCCGCAGATAGATTGTTCGAGCAGCTGTTGCCGCGGAAGTAGACGCCCTGCAATAAAAATCTGTGCACGCCTCTTCCCTGCTTGAAAATAATGGGCTCATATCAAATTATTTGCAAAATAATATAGAAAAAAAATTGAGTAAAAAAAAGGTAAGAATCTGTCCAAACACTTCAAAACAATTTGACATCAGCTCAGTTTATTCCCACAAAATCTGAAAAGATTGCTGATATATATATGCCTTTGATATCTCGCTCAATAGATTGTCAAACTAATTTGTGCGCAGGTAGCCCAGCTCCAGTCGAGGGATAAAGATGTTGAATATACAAAAAGTATCACATGACACAGTTCGACAAAAGGTTGACAAACTTCTTAAATTACCGAAACCTGGAGACCGTCGCGCAGTCAGAAACGTCAGAGACGCAGACGGAGTCTGGGCCATTTTCAATTTGTGGCTAGCGAAATTTATGAAGCGTATAATTTTCATATGCAACACCTGCTGCAGTTATTTCTCTGTCTGGCACTTGGGCCGAAGTGCTTATATAAATAAAAAGTTTATAATTGCCGACTGACTGTGTGATACTCTGTGCATTATTATGATGGTGGGGTTGATGGGGACTTGGCTCTTTGAGTTGCTTATAAATTAAGTCGAGCCACTGCTGTACATTAAGGACACTTGATAGCTTAATTTATTGCCAGGCAAAAGATGCAGGACAACGGCTGCAGAAAAAGCCAATGCTGAGATAATTGCATGCAGAACAAGCACGACAACCAGACCGCGTGGGTGCTGAAGCTGCTGCTGTAGGTCCTGCTGCCAGTTCTGGTTCTGATTCTGGTTCTGGTCCCGATGCCTGGCCTGCTGCTGGCTCTGTTTCAAACGAAACTTCAGCGACCATCCTTTGCCTGGCTGCACTCGTATATGTCTATATGTATATGCATATATATTCACTCCTGCAGCTAACTGACTGTGTGGGTGCTCAAGGATGTGTGTGTGTCTGTGTGTTTGTGCTCGCTCGCGTTGCTGCATAAAACATTTTAAATTGAGCGTTAAAATTAAACGATGCATCGCAAAACTAACAAACGTGTCTAGTGCACAAAAGGGCAACAAAATGCACTCACTCGCAATTTTGTGGGTCGAACCGAATGGGAAAGGGGTTGGGGTGCTCGGCACTTGTTTATAAGGTCGTTAATCGTATGTATATGCTGCACATATCTATTAAATGTGCTACTATATAAACAGCGTGCATAAAACTGTACACAAAATAAATTTGAAAAGTCATCGACGCTTTATTGAGATTCCTTTGTTGTAGTTGTGCTTATTTTATAAATGTTGTAATTTAATGAGACAGGAGTAAAATATTAATTATATATATATATATATATATATATATATATATATATATATATATATATATAGATTTAAGTATCTTCTAATATAATAATTCTATTATCATCTATTTATATATCTTTTAAATATAAAATTTAATTTTATCTTATAAATTTTATAGTTTACGTCCATTTTCATCAAACAAAACAATTAATTTGCTGCGCAGAGTTTTCATAGCTTTGCCAATGGTCAGGGGGTATAAGGGCCATATGAAACTTGGTCAGTCATTGACAGATGCAGCAACAACTACAAAATTGCAATTGTATTAGTTACACTTCCCTCTCTCTAATCAGCCAGTTAGTCAAGCACTCAATAAACGAAAATTGATAGATGTGCCACTGTATAAGCAGCAGGCTCTAGAAAGCATTAGAAAGGAAATGGACTGGAATTAAAAATAATATAACGAGTCAGGGAAGTCCGTTAGATTAGATTACAATGCAATGAAATGGGAAAAGTGACTTCTAAGGGCTTGGAGAAGTTTGTAGTGAAAAGAGAAGATCAGATAGATTATGCTTTGCGCATCCAATATTTTTATATATATGCTTCTTGATGTTTTATTAGCAATTTTATAGTAATTAATATACGTGCTTTATATTTATATATATTTTTATAGCATATCTATTAGTCGTGATTTTTCCAGTTGTGCCCTGACTCAATTTTCAGCTCGAGTTTCGTTATTTATTTATTTTGTTGCTTTTGTCTGCTCTTGCAAATTGACAATTTAGCCTTTCACCTGTCTAAACGAATCTATCGCACATCAAAATAAATATTAAAAACTAACCAACAATGGCATGGCGCAGACTGAGGCAAGGCTAAACAAGGTTGTTGTTGTTGCTGCTGCTGCTGTTGTCAGTCAGACAGTCAGCGAAGTAGCACAACGTCACTCAAATGCTCGGCTCTGCACAGGCTTCAAGCTTCGACATCAGGTTTGGGCCTGGTTATGGGTTTTTGGTTTGAGTTTTTTGAGAGTATTTTGAAATTTGAGGCCACCGGCTCGGCACTCGATGCTCGAGAGTCAAGGCGAAGCCGCCGTGTGGCCATAGTTTTATTGACATTTCGCCGCGTTATCGCGTCGGCCAACAAAAGGAGTCAACTTGAAGAGCGCCAGTCAAAAAGAGCAGTCGTCGAGGCAGTCAGGCAAGCGGGCAGTTGCTCGCTCGACAGGCCCCTAATCAACTCAGCCAAACTCAACTGACTGACTGACTGACTAACTGGTTGCCTTGGTATGCAACAGTCTGTGTTCATAGCTGGACAACAAAAAATAACCAAGCTAGACAACTGCGCCATGACGAACGACTGTCAAATGCCTTACGCTGCAGAATATGTGCTATATTAAAGAATAACTTTATAGAATCAAATATATTTATAATGAAGTGATAAAAAAATTAAAGATAATAAAAAATAACTGCTAAAAAATTATAATTTAATACAAATCTACAAATCACTAAATCAAAACTCAGTCAGACTAGAATTGGGAGTTGAGCTCAACAGCAACAATAAGTTCTAATACTTGATAAATATCATCCATATCCAATTGAAAGATATAACTCACGTTGAAACCAAACCATTTCCCAAGTTATAACTCAAATAGGTATTACAAATTCGCAGCAGCTGAACGGTTTAGTGAAACGAATAGACTCGTTTTGCTATTACCAAACAGAGGAAACTGATAAACAACAGCAAATTTTTGGCGCGTTGTCTGACAGGCAGCAGCGGCAAACGGCATCAACTGTTCAGCTGTGATGGCAGAGAGCGCAACTGCAATGCACATTATAATTTCCATTAGAAGTCAGCAAACGGAGCTCAGCAACAGCAAAAAGTGGGAGTGGCACAAATGGGGCAAACGACTAGGGTACGTGGGGAGCGGCGGGTGTGGTGTATATACCAGTTGGATACGGCAACAAGTCCAAGTCCAAGTGGCTGCTGGCTGCTGACTGCTGGCCCCGTCGCAATGATGGCGTAAACAGAGAACTGTCATTATGACAGTTGATTCTTTGTGGCTGCTGCAGTTGCTGCTGCTGCTGCTGCCCATTTAAAATTATGGCCAGCGAGTTCAGCTGGAGCTGGCAACTGGCAACTGGCAACTGGCTAGCAAAGATATATAATTTTATACTTTCGCATAATGTTTTGCATTAAAATTATAATAAGTTTCAACTTTTTGCATTTGCAATTGCACCCAGCTTTTCCAGTCGTTGCAGTCTCTCAGATTTCAGATTTCAGCATTCAGCATCCAGCAGTCAGCTTTCAGTTTTGCAGTTCAGTCTGTGGGTCAATATCATTGCGTTATCTCCGGCTCTCTGTCCGCGTGGTTGAAAGTGGAGCAAGTCAGTCAGCCTGTCATTTATTTAATGTCTGAAATGCTTGAAATATATTCATTGCATTGCATTTTAAATAGATCTCCCTTTGCCCTCTCGCTTCCTTTTAATGGCACTTGCCATAGCTAAAAGGCTCGTTTCGCTGTAGATTGTGGGCGGAACTGCTTAATGATTTCCTGGCCACTGAAACTAAGTAGCGGGTAACTAAGTAAAAGGGTTCTTATTAGCTACGGAGCCAAGCGAGCGACCGTCTTCAACTTGTAAATGGTTTATTGAAGCGTTTAATCTTTGATATTGTGACAGCTATCTAAGGAGAGTTCTTTAAGTAATATTGTCTGAGCTGCTGCCAGTGAAAGTTTACGTGAAAGTTGCGCAAACCTTTGCTGGGAATGATGCCTTCTAACTGCTCATTGCAATTTATATTATATTTGGTTATATCCTGAACTTATTAAAATGTCAATTTAAGTTAACGATTTTTTGAAAGTGCAAGTAAAATACAAAAAGAGGCGGGGCAGACCGCAATAGAACGAGTCGATGTAAACCACAAAGCGAGAGTCTTTTGAATATATTTCAATTTGATATTTGAAATATATATTCGCGACTACCATATGCAAAGCGAATTTATGTTTTTACTTTCCTTCGATATTTTGTGTTGGCTTTCCAACTGAAGTTGACCGACTTTCTCACTTTCAATAGATCGCCGCCATGAATGGCAGGTAATGTCAGACACTTAGCAAGACTAATCACTTGTTATTTTGTATATTTTGTAAATCTAAAGACTTTTAATTTAACGCAATGTTTCTATTCCCAGAATATAAACTTTTTGTTAACACTTGCATTTGATAAGAGGCTGTAAATAATTTCAAATTGAATAGTTGAAAATCAAGTTTATTCTACGAGCCAATTCGTGCCTTTTATATAAAATGATAAATTGCTAAATTATAAAATATAAATTGATAAATTATATTCTGATTTATTATTTTTGCTTATAATTTAATAAAAACATTATAATTGAACCTAATGCGATTAGCATATCAAATATCACATTCTCACTGTATTTAATTAAGCTAAGTATTTAAGAATGGTATTTGGTTTTACAATTGACCCCTCAAGTTCCTATGGTTCAGTTCCAATGGGGCGTATCATCAGCTGCAGAGACTTAAGGGAATGACTTCGACTATGCCAAGTTTGCCAGTAAATGCATCCAGTTGTCTCTAACTTGTTTGAACCTTCCAAATCACAGTCGAATCGTTTGCCGTTAAGGTTACTTTTAAAATGGAAAAAACACAATTATTTAAATTTTGCTTCACTTTATAATTATTTACCTAAATGCACAGTTATGATACCACCATGCACCCTTAAGAACCTTGGCACAATTATACGTGTAACTATCATTGTCATTGTCATATGTTGTAAATTTTCTTCCCTCGTGATATTTCATAGAATCTCCAGCATTCCCGGTATATTTGCCAAGAGAAATCAATCTAAATTTTGTATCTTCGCCTCCTACTGTAAAGTTATCGTATCTAGCGTAACGCTGCACGTTTCTCTGATCAACAAGGTGTATGTAGAGCTCATATCGCTTCTCGCTTGTCATTTTGTGCAGCTTCTGAAGTCCGATCCAAAACTCCTTAGTAACCTCTCCGAAACCAACTTTATAATCTTTCCAATTCCGATAGAAATCGACCTTTCCATCAATGCGGCGTTGTATTACGGTCCACCCTGATCCCGCCAGCTTCGAATCACACGACACGGTAAACGGACTCAGTCCTTTAACTTCTATTGATGCTATTCCCGAATAGTTCTTATAATTCAGACAATTGTTCGGAAGATGCTCAAGTTGTTGCCTGCATTCGACTAATTTACTTTGAAGATTGCTTAGCTCAACTTCTTTACCAACCAGATTCCTTTCGCATAAAGTAATGTTTGACTCTAAACTCTTGATCATTTTATCATTAACGGATATTTGATTGTTTGAGTTTTCTAGGGTATCATTCAAATGATTCGACTCAGCTTTACATTTCTCGAGTACGTTGCTCAGCTCAGCTATTCGCTGTTTGCTTTCGCTGATAACAACTGAATTCTCGTTTGCTTTTTTCTCAATATTATTTTCGCAAGATGTTAAATTTGTCTGCAGATGGATAAGTCTGTCTTCTAATATTGAATTTTGTTTACCTAAATTTCCCAAATCAATCCTACATATCTTAGATTTCTCAGTCAGTTCATCTATTTGTCTTTTGCTTAAGCTGAGAGCTTTCGAGTTCTCATCATGTTTTTTCTCAAATTCAGAAATTTGTTTTCTGTTATCCGCGTTGAACAGTTGACATTTAGTATATTCATTACTTTTTTCAACTAAATTATTTTCGAATTCAGTTAAATTTATTCTTAAAATAGCCATCTCAGTCTCTTTTATACGTAGACTATCTTTCAAGTTTTTATTTTGTGCTTTTAATTCATGTTCATTTTCAGTAAATTCGTCTTTTATTTTAGCTAATTGCTTTTCCTTCTTTTCTAGCTCAAGTTCATAGCTGAAAATTTTATTTTCCATTTCTGCAATTTTCATGTTTTTTATTTCTGTTTCATTGTTGACCTTTGCAATGTGTTCCAGCATTGGTTTGAATATGTAGAGTGCGTAGGTCTCGCACTTGGCGCGTAGGTCGGGGTACATGCGAAACTAAAAGAAATTTTGTAATATTTTTAATAAATGTAATAGACTCGCACTTTAGCATAATCAACACACGGATTCATTCTCCTTCGAGGAATTCGTTGGCAACGACACCGATAAAAATACGGTTAAAATTACAAAAACTTTTTGATTTATTATCATTTTGCTTGTGCAAAGTACAATTATCTATGTTTTATTCCGTAAGCTGTGTAGATTTGTTTTACGCTCCCGACACGAATTGAGACTTGCTTTCAGGCGCACTATCTTTAAATAGGGAGCCTCTGCCAATTCGAGATCTCTCTAAGCTCTCTGTGATGCTATTATCAGATGAAGATTCGTTGTCTATTGCTATATATGCATAGAGAAAATTCTCACGAACACTGAGAGAGACTGAGAGATGCCACGAACCTCGTGCTTATCTCTTGATTCAAATGTTCGCACCGTGGGTGAATTTTGTATATAGGAATTTGTTTTGCATGATCTACTTATTTATATTTAATTTATATGAAGCGAGAGAATATATACACGTATAGACAGATCTCTCCTGGGATTGAACATAAGAAACCTCTATATTTGAACAGTTACAAACTTTCTGTTTTTTTTTTTTTTCTCTGCAAATTATCCTATCAAAAGTAGCCCATACATTTTTATTCAGAGAATGAATGCTCAACAGAAAATTATAAATTATATTTAGGAAATGACATTGCATCTAGTACTTTGAATTAGTCCACTGAAGAGCTGCACACTAAATCCAAAATTGACCTGTCCTCAGCCAGAATAGCTAAGCTTCACATTAACTTTATCAGGAAACCTCACGCTTACAAAACATTTAATACTACCAAAGAAGTCATCAGTTAAGATTTTAAGTTAATTACATATTTATGGCAGTTTTGTATACATTTTCCCACCTCAATATTATGTTCCTTGCAAATGAATTTTCATAATATGTATGTGTTTAAGAAGAAAAGGTCGAAGGCATGTACTCTTAAATATTCATGTAAAATACTTTCATTAAATTGTGAATAATTTGACGATTTATATGTTCTTAAAATTAAACAAGCTTTATTTTAATATTTGCTGCGAACATTATACGAAGTAACTTATAAATTGTAATAAATTATAATAATTTTTTATATATTATTTAAAAATAAACATTTTACTACCGAAGTCAGCTCAGATTCCATTTTATTCACAAGTTTTATACAATTTACAAGATAAAAGTAGCTACAGAATAGACTTTGCTACATTTTGCAATTAATAATTGTAAATTGATATTGAATGTAATCATTATTAATGAACTTATAAATTTGTTATCAAAAGTTTCCTTTCTTGAGCTAAAGGCTTAAATCACATGTGTAAACTGATTATAAATATTATATATTTAAATTTCTGATAATTTACTTTTAATGCATTGCTTGTCCCCATTGGCAGTTTCATTGACTTTGGACTTCGGTATGTTGTTCTTTGCTGCTTCTCTAAGCATCTTCGCACTGATTAACACCAAAATTTTCCAGCCCCTTGTTCTAAGTAGCTGTCAATATGCAACAAAGGCAGCAGCAAGTGGCACACGGAGCGAGAGAGAAGAGGAGCAACAAGGTGGCAAGTTGAAAGTTGGCAAAGTTTATAATTCCATACAAATAGGTGTGCAACAAGCGGCAGGAGCTACACAAAATGCCCAAAACATCAATTTATTCTCATTAAAAGATATGAAGGTGTTTGTCTGTCGTCTTGGTAGCAGCCAACAGCAGCAGCAACAACAACAACAACAACTATAAGAAAATTGTTCTAAAGAAAACTTTTTGTGGAAAATGTGAACAAAAGCATGCAATTTATAAACTGTTGGTGGGTATAGAATGCTGCGACTCGCTGTATACTTGGTTGAGGAATGGGGTTTCCTACGTTTAAGTGGGGTATCCAAAGTTCTTGCTGTTGATGTTGTTGTTGATGGTGGTAGCACCCGCAAGCAGCTGCTTTAGAATTAATGCAACAAATGGTCCACAAATCCCATGGCGGTTGAAGTTGTGAAAGCTGAGGTTAAGCAAGTGCAGCCAAAAGGTAATAAAGTTTAATTGAATTTTCATTATACGCATTTTTTTTGTTGCCTTCTAGACAGTTGCTGTTGTTGTTGTTGTTGTTGCTGTTGTTGGGCCCTGTTGGCCCTCTGCGACACGCTAATGAAAAATGCATTTCAATATTCAATTACGCGACGGCAAACAAATCCAGCTAGACCTCAGCGAGAAGCGTTACAAAACTTGCTCGAGTGCAATAAAAAGTAAGTAAAAGTCAGCAGAAAATCTATATCTAAGCAATTTTTATATACTTATAAGTAATAATAAAAATTAATAAATAAATCTATTTATTTTCTTGTAAAAGCCAGAAATTTAAATAAATAAAAAATATTATTTGCTTTCCTTAGTTAGCTTGCTGAACTGACTACTAGAACTTTTCGTTTATGAACCTATCTAATCTTGCTTCTTGACTGTGAACGTAACTCTTGGAGCACATCTCGTTCATATAGGAACTTTTTGAGGAGCTGCAGCCTGCTGACTGCTAGCTGCAAGCCGAGCAGCACAAAGAGCAGCGCGCAATTTGTGTTGCTTTTGTAATGCAAATTCAAGTGGGAGTCAAGACGCGTTTGCTGAGTGCATGCCACGCCCACGAGCGGGCAACGACGCACAAAGAGGGCGGCTGAAAGCTAGAGACATTTGGCACTTGCGAAACCCCAACAAGAACAACAACAACAACAACGAGAACAACAACTGCGAACAGCCATTGCATTGGCATTCATCAGCGGGCACAAAACACACGTTGCGAGGCCGCATGTTGCATATAAATGTTGCCTCTCTGCCACATGTGCTGCTGCTGCACTGTAAGCAAATCAAAGCCAGCCAGCCAGACAGCTCTCATCAACAGCATCACTTGATAATAATGATGATCAGTTTGTTGAATATGATATGCTGATGAACAAGATGATGATGATGATGATGATAAGTAACAGCAGCAGCCGTCAGGCTTCAACTTGAGGCAGCGTTTTTCTGTACGCACTCGTCTCCCCGCCTCCCCAGCGTCTAATAAATCATTTTTTGTCGGCGGTTTGTTTGCGTTGCCATATAATATTCCCCCAAAAAATTGGTCTCATTAATGGCCTCGCGCTGTTTTCACCTAAACTATTTTAGTTTATTTTGATAGCGTGTTTATATACGTATGTATTTATTTACGCTCCGCAGCTAAGCACTCATTAATCAACTTTTTTCTTAGTATTTCGAAAACGATATCTATCAAGTTTATAAGCAGTTCGATTTATGTTAAACATCATCAAAAGTCACACTAGCAAAACATTTGGCATGCGTCGGTGATTTACATACATTATACATTATTATTAGCCCTGTTCTGCTTCTTCATCAATGTCTCAGCCTCTCTCTCTCTCTCTTTCTCGAGCCTAAAATATTAGTTAGATTGATTGTGGCATTTAAAACGCCTCAAGTCCCAAAGGGTAGGCGCCTTTAAAAAAAAAAACCAAAAAAGCGAGTTTTGTTAAAGACTTCTCGTCTATCACACATGCAACATTTAAGTCAGGCGCACAGCACTCTTCAGAATTGGTTTAATAATATTAAACATTGAATTATAAATTAATTTTTTGATAAGGGTATTCAAAGATGTTAAATATTCACTTAAAGCTTTTGAAGACGTTTGTGAAAAACTGCAACCGAATGAATGTTTTGTTGAGATTAAATATGTTGTATTCTAAATCTGGATAGTATCTGTATTTATTAAAGCTATCTCTGTCTTTACTTCTTTTCGCATATCTAACTTTATCTATGTAAGATCAGTTAAGCATATGCAATGCAGACAGTTTTAAATAAATTTTGAACTAAACCCAAATGACACTCATAGCTTGTGGGAATATTTAAATACACAAATTATAAATAAATCTACCAGCTACAGATCGTTCATTGCCTTGTTTTAAGAATTCTATATCAATTAGAGAATCGGATTGTTTATAAAATCTAATTACCCAAACGATTTGTCTTCATATGTTCGTGCAGCTCTTTGTTTGCATTGGGACTTTAGGTTTATGTGGCGTCGTGCAGTCTAAACGCTTCCTGCCAAATTGTAAAATCGCTCTGTAAAGTCCCTTGTGTCATGGCACTTACAAAACGACCGCAGCACATTAAAGTCAACGCCGCGCTGTAAAAGGTGTTTTCGGTCGGTCGGTCGGTGTGATATAAAGCCAAAAGCCGCAACACTATTTCCCCATTGACAATAAAAAATCTTTATTTAAAACATTTCACGGCAGGCAACAATAAAACACCAAAAGTCTAGTTGTTGTTGTTGTTGTAGTTCACTTTGGCCAAAACCGCAACATGTTTGAAGCATTTACACGTGCGGCAAAGCCAAACTCAAAAAAAAAGAGAAACAAAAAATAGAAACGGAATAGAACAGACAGCGTTCAATGCGAGTGACGTTGGGGCAAAGGGGCAGCAGCAGCAGCAGCAGCAGCAACGGCAGCAGCAGCAGGTCAGCAGACAGGAAACGTGTGAGCTGCAACGCCCAAGGCATTGGCAACGTTGTTGCTGCCGACGCTGCTGCGAACCCATTTCAGTTTGAAACTGTCTCAACTATAAAAGAAATCAATTACTTTCGCTACGTAGCAAACGGAATGAGTAGGGGCGAGTGACGGGCTGCAGGACATGAGCCAAGACGAAGGCCAGGCAAATGTGCTCACACTTCCGTCAGGGAGTGGGCGGGCGGCGGTAGAGTGTAGAGTGTAGAATAGCCCTGCAGAGTCACGTGCCACAAAGAACGCGCTACAAATTTGTTACAACTAATGCGTGGGTGCAATTCGAAATGCGGCTCCTTACATATGCAGCAAGAGCTGCTACAAAATAAAATATCAATTCAACGAGGGTAGTCAGAGAAGGTGTTCTAACTACTTAAAGCTACTGCACTCTGTGAAGATGAAGTTTTGATCTATAACATTAATAGAAAGTAAGGTAGTTACAACCATTTGGCTGTTATTCAAATATATTTATTATTTTATTTATTATTTTTTTAATGTATATTTTTAAGTAAATTAATATTTTTCAATATTTTTTACTTTTAGTTTTTCTGTTAATCATTTAAAAAATTATAAATATTCGTTATATTTTATTATCAAAATGGAACAAACGAAAAATTGATAAATAAAATTTATTTATCATCTCAGTAAAGAAATCTCTAAAATG